AAAAATCGGAATTTTATGCGAATTTGATGGAAAAACGGCGAACCAAAGAAGAAAAACAGCAAGAAGAATTACGGTATCTGTTTTATTTGCGAAGTTAATTTTTTGTTTTTTTTTATCTTTCTTTTCCCTTCGCGCTTACATGTTTCATTTGTAGATTGGCTGGTGTAAAGAAGAAGGAGAAGAAGGAAGCGTTTGATAATCGACATTGGACACAAAAAAATTTGGACCAGATGACCGAACGTGATTGGCGTATATTTCGGGAAGATTTCAATATTTCTATTAAAGGTGGCCGTGTTCCGAAACCTCTGCGCAGTTGGGAAGAAGCAGGCTTACCTTCAGAAGTCTTTGATGTTATTATGAAAATTGGTTATAAGGTTGGTTTTTTGTCAAATGATCAAGAGATTACTGAAACCAAAGCTTTTTCTTTTTTTTTTTGAAATTGGTAAGATTAATCATAGAAAAAACTTGTCTCTTTCTTTTTTATTTTGGGAAGGAGTTTCTTGCAGGAACCAACACCAATCCAACGACAAGCAATTCCCATCGGCCTGCAAAATAGAGATATAATTGGCGTAGCAGAGACTGGATCTGGAAAAACGGCTGCCTTTTTAATACCACTTCTAGTATGGATAACATCTATACCAAAATTTCATGGTAACGATGAGCAAGACACGGTTAGCTTTTATTTGTCAATTTTTCAAATTTCTAAAAAAACTAAATTGAGTAGAAGGTACATTATGGAAACATTATGAAATTATTTAAAGTATGAATTGCAAAGAGAGTGGGCAAACTAATAACCATTCAATAACTTAGAAAAAATTACAAATCTGTACATATAAGAAAGATACTTGCACCGAGATTAGATATTAGCTCAAATTTCAAAAATTTTTTTCTTTTTAATGTTTTGTTCCCTGCTATGTAAATAATGCCCAGGATATCATTAACGTATTCCTACGTTCTATGATTAAGTGATGGATATATTACAATAAAACTTTCGCGTAAAAAGTTAAGTATTTGTGATTTAAAGAAATTTGAAACTTGATGTTTTCAAAAACAGTATAAGTTGCGAATTTTTTTCTCTTTTTATGCTATATGAAATGAGATTGATGTATTTTAGGGACCTTATGCTATTATCATGGCACCGACACGTGAGTTAGCACAACAAATTGAGGAAGAAACAGTTAAATTCGGACAGTTGCTTGGTATCCGAACAGTTTCAGTAATTGGTGGTGCTTCACGAGAAGAGCAGGGTCTAAAGCTTCGTCTTGGTGTTGAGGTGCACTGTTTATTTATTTAATCTCTTAGATTTACAAAAAATGCATTTACTTCATCAACTCAGCTATATCTGAAAAGTGCATTTGCCCAGAAAAATAAAAAAATATCTTAATATACATAAGATTACTTATGCCATCTTACTGACGTGAACTGCATGTCTGAATATTTAGGATGTCTAATTTCGTTTGATCTATCCGCTAATTAAATTTTTCGTTGCACTTGTCATAGCCGATTAGTGTTTGGTCAAGTTCTATTTTGTTAAAATATTCTTTCAAAAAAGTTTTTCTTCCCATAGTATCATTTAAGATTACTTACAAACTTCTTTTATCACATAGAGCTTCTTTTTCTCATAAGAATCTGGTTTTCAACACAAACTTTTCTCTCGCAATACAAAAACTATGAGTGTTGTTTAAAATCTTATACCTTATAATCATATTTTTGATATTTCTTACTTGAGCGAGATTATAATTTGATTTTTCCTTCATTCTGCTTCTTGTGTTGAAATCTGGATTCACTATAAATTTAGAATCTTGCTTACACATTCTATCTTTTTAAGCAAGAAAAAAGACTTGATTTCATTATGATGGGATGAAAAGCCACAAATTTCGGCCTAGATAATTGTAGAAGTAAATAAAAGACAGAAAGCAAAGCAACGTTTCTCATTAGTGGGCAGACAAGCGCAGTTATTTTCCAAGAAAGACCTTATTGCGTTTCGTTAAAAAGAATTTTAATTTCAACTGAAATTTCTTTTCACTGTGGGATATCTGGAATACCCTTTTTTGATGGAAATTTTAGTAGACCTAACAGTTAATAATGAGAGAACTAAATTTCCTAAACTTTCATGTTTCGTTTTAACTTACTAAGGAAAATGTTTTTATTTTTTACATTTTCAAATTTGACATTTTTCTCGGTAACTGGAAAAATCTCAAAATGAATTATGGAATGGTGGGAAAATCCATAACTCATTTTGAGATTTTTCTACTGAAAGTTCCCAAAGAAAATGCTTCAAATTTTTCTACTTTATTTAGAAAATAAATGCTCTTATTAAAGCGTATTGCAATGTCTGAGAACTGAATTATTTTATGCGACAAATGCATTATAATTTATGAGATCGAATGTAATAAGTGCAAATAGCTAATAAAATTGCCTTTATTTCATATCAATTTTTTTTGTGATTTAGAAATATTATTTATTGTTGAATTTCTTGATTTTGCTTGACTTGTGGAAAAATATTATATTTTATTCAGGTGGTTATCGCTACACCAGGACGTTTGTTAGATGTTTTGGAAAATCGTTATTTATCATTGGATCAATGCACTTATGTTATTTTGGATGAAGCTGACAGAATGTTGGATATGGGTTTTGAACCAGAAGTGCAAAAAGTAAATTTACAGTTTTACAATAAGAAATTTTTTTCCATTTATTCATTTTTAACATTAATTTATCCCAAATTTTCCATGTATTTCCCTTTTCATTGCTTGATCTTCGAAACGTACTTACAAATTTGAATTTTTTAAGAGAAATAGATATTTGTTTTATGTGTTAATTTTTTCTCTTATTGTGGTTCCTTAGGTAATGTTATTTTATTTTTACCATTTTCTGCTATGACTAATTGTTTCGTACTTCTATACAATTTTTACAGGTTCTTGAGTATATCCCAGTAACAAATCTGAAACCAGATACCGAAGATGCGGAAAAAGAAGAGTCTATAATGGAGAATTTTTATTCGAAAAAAAAATATCGTCAAGTAAATATTAAATATTTTTTGCTTTCCTCAACAAAAATTCAAATAACTGATATTTACAAGAATATTTATTTCCAACATAATGATAGATAGATTATCTCGTTCGCTC